GGGTGGGAAAGACGCTGGCATGTATTGAGCTGGTGGGAAGTAGAGAGGAAAGGGAAAGACCCAGGACTGCTCTGGGTGTTTAGACAGATTTTTGTGGCACCTATGTGATACCTTGGTTAGTTCAGTAAGGGTTTGAGTGTGAGTAGAAGGAAAGCGGAAGGAGAAAGATCAGAGAGGGGAACAGGGAACAAGGCCTAATAGCTGACTGGAGGGTGGAGGGTGGAGGGTGGAAGAGCAGTCCTGACCAGTCCCTTTTGTCTTTGACATTAGGGATTGCTTAAGACCACAGGAAGCTTTTTTGCTTTTTAAATAAGCCAGGTGTTCTAAGTTTAATGTGTAAGCTTTGTTAGTACACTTTTCTAATTAGATTGAGTTTGTTTCCCCAGTTTAATTATGTAAACTATGTAAAGGGTATTACAAATAAGAGTTAAAGCTTAGAACTTTTAAATTGAGGGTCTTAGAGATCATTTATCTAGTCTAATTCTTTTCATTTACAAAAAAGAAAATCGAGGCCCAGGGAGCTTAATCAGTTTGCCCAAAGTCACAGGGCTGGTTAGTGAAAGACCTAGAAGTAGAATATACTACTTTTTCCACTCTACTGCACTCCATTTTGCCTTGACTGAGGCTCTGTAAGGACAGTGGGATAGATCTGTAAATGATCTAATTTGTCACTGGAGAAAATATAAATCAGTGGCCACAAAATTTCAGCCAAATTTCATCCATCACATCATAAAAAATAACTTGCCAAAGAGAGTATTGAAAATCCAAACCAGACCCTTCTCCTCTCCTAGAGGGCCCAGTTCCATGTTATTGCATGAAAGCCAAATGTTTCTAGCACACCTGATCAGCTGCACTTCAGGATTTCGTCGTTTGAACTGTCATGATAAATGAAACTTTCTAGGTTAATATAAGCTCTTCAGCAGAAGTTTTGATTCCGTCGATGCTGCTGAAGAGGAAGGAGGAAGGAGAAAAGGCTCTAAGAAGACAATACCCCCGTGAGCTTCTACACAGGGGTGTGCAGTCCCAGCCCCTGGAGGAGCCACGTTTAACACCCATCTTGACACAAAGTGCTGCCGCTTCCGATGCACATATGTTCACACTGCCACAGGCCTTTGAAATCTGGAACATTTGTTCAGGGGATGGATCAGCAATCGTTGAACCAAAGGCACCAATCCAGGACCTGATTTTCCTTGAAGTGTCAGGGGTTTTCACTAGTGCATAGCAACTGTGAGAAAGGCACCCCCCTCCAGGGGCATGATTCTCTAGGTCAGGACTAAATCGTTTTGTTTCATTCTCTGAATTTGAGATTTTTGCTGATGGTTCCAAAATTAAATGCTGAAATTTAAAGAAAAAAGTATATATATTCCAGCCAATAGGACATGTCAGAGAAGTTAGGGGGAAGAAAATCAAACCAAAGGTAACTTTCTGTAATTAAAAAAAGAAACTTAATTTCAGAGAATGTGTTCAGTACCAAAAATCCCACCCTGAGACCATTCTAATATTGCTCTCCTGTGCCTCACTTCAATGGATAAAGATTGCTATAGTTTATTAAATACAGAAAAACACTATTTAAAGGAGATTTCTTCATTGTTTAGTAATCCTGCCTTTAGACTTGTTCACCAACCACAAGAATTATACTTGTCAATGCAGGACTCTTAGCTAGAACAACTTTCTATAACTCATTAACTCAGCCAACTGAGTGCTTTCTCTGTTTCCACTTGATCAGAGAGGATTAGGACATAGTTTCTGCCCTTTGATACCACACAGCTTAGTAGGGGACATAAACAAGAAAATCAGTTCTTACAATACAAGGTAGTAAGAGTTGACTACTGCATAGCGTTTGGAATCAGACAGACTTGGATTCAAATTTCAGCTCTGCCATTTACTAGCAAGTGGCAGATCTTGGGCAAGATTTAACTCTTTTCTCTAAATCTTTGTTTTCCCCTCCATAAAGCACTGACCTCAAGATTAAATGATATATTGTGTATAAAGCACTTAGCACAATCTTTGGAAAATAAATGTAATCAATAACTGTAATCTACTAGTACAGTAGTGATTGAAGTGTTCATAGGGTGTTACAAGATCCACAGAAAGGGGATTGGAAGAATGAGGGAGAAAAAGGGATATTGTCAAGGAAGGCTGCCAGGACATGATGACACGGGCTATATTTTGAAGAATAGGTTGAAGTCAATAAGATGGATGAAGGGAGGTAAGACTTTCAGATAAGAGGAACAGAATCTGCCTAAGCACAGTTGTGAGGGAACATAGGTATCTGAGGGACTTGGTATGGAAATGGCTTAATATGGTTGGAGCAAAGGGATAACTACAGAAACTGAGGCTAGAGGATGAAGGATATTAAAAGGTAAATAAAAACTCTAACACAGTGTTCTAATTTACAGTGAAGGGAAGAAGAGTTAAAATTAGAAAAAGAGGGTGATTAGCCTTCAAGAGGAATGCCCTAAATGTTAAACATAAACCTTGCACCCTTCTGGTGAGCTTCATGCAAAAACTTTATATTCTAACTGCAATGCAACAAACTTAGACATTAGAAAATAAAACTTAGAAATTAGAAAAAAAAAAACCAAACTTTCCACTTGGAAATTTAAAATAATGATTCTATATAACTCTTATGTCAAAAATGAAATCAAAATTGTGAAACAGACAATTTGGAAAAGAACTATGAGAGTACTGTTTAAGAAAGCCTATGGAGAGAGACCAAAGTGACACTAAGAGGAAATTTTAGATCTTTAAATGCATCCATCAAAAAACAAGAAATACTAAAACTAAATGAATTAAGCATTTAATTCAAGAAACTAGACTTCTGTATCTAGAAGTGATTGTGGGCTGCCTGTGCCCTAGTCATTAATAACACAGGGAGAGAAAGCATTTTCCCCATATTTGAAGGGTCCAGCTGTCCCTTCCAAATCCTGGAGTCTTCACACACTAACAAAAAAAAAAGAGAAAAATAAACCTAAAGAAAGTTAGAAGAATTAATTATTTGAAAATGAAAAAATACCATTTTAAAAAATAAAGTTCATTAACCCTGGCTGGTGTGGCTCAGCTGGTTAGAGTGTCATCCCGTAACCAAAGGGTCATTGGTTTGATTCCCGGTCAGGGCACATACAGTATCCGGTCTGAGTGTATGTGAGAGGCAACCAATTGATGCTTCTCCCTCACATTGATGTTTCTCTGTCTCCCTTCCTCTATCTCTAAAAGCAATGAAAAAAAAAGTCCTCAGGTGAAGATTCTTTTTTAAATTTTTTAAAAACAGTCGATTAATAAAACCAAAAGGTGTGTTTTTTAAAAAGATAATAAAAGATAAGCTTTTGGCAAATTGGATTTTTAAACAAGAAAATACACGAATAACATGTATTCAGTTAGTTAAAAATAATAAGAGATTTCAGATTTCTCTCTTTGTACAGATTTCTCTGTACATGAGAATATCATGTACAACTTTACTCCATTATAAATTACTAAAATTTCACTTATAAGTAGTACAAAGCCTGAAGAAACTAAAATATATATAGAAGAAAAATTTAAGGTAGTCAAAGATTTACCACCAGGCTGAGACAATTCTGCCAATGAATTCCAAGAAACCATCAAGGAACAGATCTTACTGCATAGAAACAGGGAAAGAAAAGTTATCAACTCAGTCTGTAAGACCAGTTAACATTTATTACCACAACAGGCGAAGGATGGCACAAAAAAGAAGACTCTGGACCAATCTAACCTACAGATTTTAAATTCTAAATATATTATTAGTAAATGAGTACATGGATATAAGGAAATCTATTAATATAATTCACCATACTTGATTATTATAACCATTTCTTTAGAATGAAAACATTAAAAAGCATCTGATGAAATCCAACAACATTCCTGACTAAAACAAATTTAAAATTCTTGGAAAGCCAGGGGTAAAACATATTATAATCTATAGTAAATATCATACTTGTGGTAAACCATTAGAAGCATTCTCTTCAAGGTTAGGAATAAAACAAGAATGCCTCCTACCACTACTGTTACTTAGTAGCATATTAGAGGTATCAGCCAATGCAGTATGGCAAGAAAAAACAATGAGAATTGTAAACACTAGAAAAGAAGGAATAAATAAACCTACCATTATTTACAGATGTTATTTTTGTCTATCCAAAAGAGGAAAAAAAATACAGGATAAAAACTACTTTGAATTGACAAGAGTTCAGGAAATCAAAATAGATTTAATACAGTAAAATTAATAATTTTCTGAATATCAGCATGTATGTATTAGGTTATAAAACAAAAAGACATATAGAATATTATAAAGTAGAGAATGAAAGTAAAGATGTACTTAAGGATACATTTAACAAGATCTACATGAAGAAAAACATAGCAAATGTAAAAGTAATTTAAGCTTACCCTTTAAAAATTTAAAGAAGGAAAGTATAAAGAAGAAAGTGAAAATTACCTCAGAAGAAACCTCTGTTGAAATCTGGGGATGGTCTGTCCTTCCAAATTGTACCTGTAATTAAAAACTATGTCTTGTCTCTTTGAAAATATATATGCTATATTAAGCAAAAGAGAAGACACAGCTTGTTTTAGAAGCATATTTAAAGCTGTGATGAAAAACAATGTAGAAGTTATAAAATATAGACCCATCAGGAAGGAGCAGAAGTTGCAAATGAGATTTCTGAGGGAATAGAGGCATACTGGCAAAAGAGTCCTCAGTCTGGAGAGGAGATTTCCTTGCAACCATGTTATGTCTACTATCAGTATCTACACAGATACTGGCCTGGCCAGGGAAAGAATGCCCCTGGAAAGGGCTCTGATAGTCTTGGTTTCATTCTATCTTTATGTATGCAGTCCTTGCCCACTATCTACTTAGCCTCTCTTCCCACCTTATTTTAGAATGAAAGCAAAACAGACCAACAAAAAGATGGGTGAGTAATTTGGCTAAATATGTCTCAGATGTGGGACCAGAGAATTTTGTAATTGAACCTCCTGTTTTTCTGCTCCCCCAGATCGCCCAGGTTTGCTGAATGTGAAGCCCATTGAGGACATACAAGACAACTTGCTGCAAGCCTTGGAGCTCCAGCTCAAGCTGAACCACCCTGAGTCTTCTCAGCTCTTTGCCAAGCTGCTCCAGAAAATGACAGACCTCAGACAAATTGTAACAGAACATGTGCAGCTATTGCAAGTAATAAAGAAAACAGAGACAGACATGAGTCTTCACCCACTCCTACAGGAAATATACAAGGACTTGTATTAGCAGAGAAGTCCTAATTCACTGACAATGTTTCCCTTCTTCCAATTGCACTATTATTTTGAGGGAAGATCTGACATCTAAAAAATTTACTGTGAAAAAGCATTTTAAAAAGAAAAGGTTTTAGAATAATAGATCTATTTTATGCATATTGTTTATAAAGATACATTTACAATTTACTTTTAATATTAAAAATTACCACATTATGAAATTGGTGGATGTATTTGAAGACGGAGTCTGATGTGTTCCCCACCTCCCCGAGATCCTGGCTTTTTCCTTTCATTTTCTTCTCAATCTTATAACCTCTTTCTTCCCTTCCTTCCTCCCTCCATCCCTCTTTGCCTTTCTTCTTTCCTTTATTTTTCTTTCTTCTTTCTTACACATTTTTTAAAAATGTGAATGGAACTGCCCATCAGCTTTCACTCTCAGTAAATTAATTTTTTACTCAATTTACAACTTTTCTGAACCTTCCATCTGCTTTAACAATCACACCTAAGAAGGGAAGGGGAACTTCAGGGCCGAAAAACTGCCCAGATCATGTGTTTCTTAACCTGGATGTGTTAATTTGGAGCATATCCTTAGGCCTATCAAGAATCCAATCTTCTTCCACAATCCCAACCAAGATTTTCACTCACCAAGAGCAGCCTACTAACAGGATACCAAGGCATACATAAATACCTATTGGCAAGTTATGAACTATTAGAAACTGTGAGTAACACAGAAGGGTTTAAAATTTGGCACCTACCAAAAAGAACTTACAATTGAGTTCAGGAGAAAAGATTAATCTTTCATAAAAACAGACCATAATGCACAGTATAATCATCTGCCAAGTGAATGGTTCAGACTGTAAGAACTATAAGAGTTCAAAGGAACTGAAGATTAATGAAGATTGGAATAGTCAAGAGTGACTCTAAATTCATTGGAGTGGGACTTGAAAGATGTGTTGTATTTGGGATAGATAGAGATCGGGAGAGAAAGCATTCTAAGAAAGCAAACCAGCAGGGACAAGATAAAGAAGAAACCAAACCAAAATAAAACATGAATGAGGAGAAGAACCATGTTGTGGTTCTAATGTATGTAGAATTATTCCTATCACTCTCCTTGGGACCGCCTTGCCCAGAGATCTCTTACTTTTCTAATCTCACAGGGTAATTATCCATATTGTTTAGGTAATGCTTACCTCCCCAGCAAGTAGGTTATATGTTCCCTAAAAGCAGGAACCTTCTTTGCACAATTATTAAGATTCTTTGACTGAAGCCCCCACATTCACTAGCATTGCCTACCCATGAACTCATAATACTGTCCTGAGGTCTCTTTGCCAGGATGATTACTCCACTGACCTAAATTATTTCCCTGCTGGTTCTCCCTTAGTTTATCTTTCTTTATGTATTAATACTCAGGAGAACATAACTACATTTGAGACTCTCAAGCAGAAATATCAGGAAATACCTTTTCATCTTTTACCCCAAAATAAACATTTCCAAAGAGTCAGGCTACAGAAGTGAGTCCTGACCTCAGTCCTAGAAATGTAGGTTTCCTAACCCTTTAGGAGAGAAAACTTCTGAGCTCAAACCTTTAATGAAACAACAGATACAACTTTGTCATTTTGGGACCAGCGACTGAAGCCATTGTCAGAGTAACACAAAAACATTAGGAAGAAATGTGACAAATTCAGTTCATCACACAGCTATTTCTCCTTTCCTTCATTGATGCCAAGCATCAGGATATTTTGAAGTGGTCACATGACTGACTAGAGGCTTCACTACTGTTTTATGTGGACAGTTTATCATCCAGGAGATCTTGAAAAAGAAAGAACAGGCAGGCAGTAGACAAGGTGATCCTCTGTTTACAAGTTTTCCCAAACAAAAAGTCTTTCAGCATGCTGTCCATCCCTTTGCAGTTCCCACCAGCACTCCATGGCCCATCCAAACCCTTTTCACATTCTCGGAGCTGTGGCTGCCAGAAGGGGGACGTTCTCAGCTCTTTGGCACTGATGATAAGCATTAAATAGCTTTTTAAATCTGGCAGCTTTTAAATTCCCATCTCTCTGACTTTTACCCTGTGGTTTGGACGATCATTTGCTAAATATTTTATGACAAATCATATACAGCCTCCAAAGCTCCTGCTCCTTCCTCTGTCTCCCCTAGGATGATTCACAAGTTAACCAACAACTATATCATCAGTTATTCATAGTACTTTCTCTGGACACAAACACATTTTCAGATTTGTGTCAACAAAATAGAAAAGTAACTGGTCAAGAGTCAAAAAAAAAAAACCAAAACGGTTTTGAGGCTCCCACGAGAGCCCTGCTCCCAGCACCACCCTTGCATATGACTTGGCTCCTCTCCCATCTCCATCCTGTGCTTGGAGCACAGGAACAGCAGGGCACATATGAGAGAAACCCTATCTGTGCACCCTGTTTCTCTAGCCACAGTCAAAAACTGGCCTGACTTGAGTTTCTGGCTTTTTTTTTTTTAACTTTAGCTGAGGAGTAAGAACTCAAGAGAGTCAGGAAGCGCTAGCTGGTGTCACTCAGCAAATTCTCAATTATAAGCTCTGGTGCAGAAACCAGAGGGACAGCTACAGCAATTCCATGGAAGAAAAAGGGGTGGGGAGAAAATTAGGCTTCTGTAGTAGGCCCACTTAGTTGCTACTGAATTTGAATGGCTTTTTCTCAGCTCCCTTGAGGCTACCAAAGGCAGATCCTTTTGGGGGGCAAGCCTTGACTTGGTTGATAATCTCCTACTGTTTGATGCTGATAAAGCAAGTCAGGATAAGAGGAGTTGGAAATTGACTCCTGCATCCCTGTTCCCTTGGAAGTATCTGTTGAGGATATGGGAAGGATGAGGGGGCTCCTGAAGAAAGCCAATTTTGGTTCTAAATCCTGAGAGAGAACCAGATTAATTTTCAGCAAGAATATCTCATTGCTTTGTCTTTCCTCCTCTTTTCCCACACACTCATTGGGAGAGTTTGGGCTATGAGACAAAGGAACCACCTTCCTATTTTTCTCTTTCCTCACCTCACCCTGTTCTTGGCCCTGGCTCCTGTAGTCTCTGTTCACATTATCATCACTATCACCTGTGTATCCCCAACCCTCACCGTGTGGTTTTCCACGTTAGGCCTTCCAGTTAATGCTTATTGAAATAAAATAATAAAATAAAATAAAATTAAAATAAAATAAAATAGCAGGATCTTAAGAGTTTAGAAGACCATCAGATGTCGTCTAATCTTACTTCATTTATCAAATATATACTTAACTCGTACTCTAGTCAAGTCTGCCACCATATGAAGATGAGTGTGGCCAAGCCCTGCCCTCATCACAGTGTTGATGAAATCAGACGCATAATTACAACTCAGCCCAAGTATGAACTGCCTGAAGATAGGAAAAAGGAATCACAGGGGGTGTGGGTAGACACAGAAGTGTAACAATGCATAGTGTGTTTAAAAAAAAAAAAACAGCAAGAAGTTAGGTATGGCTTCCATAGCTAGGGAGTGAAAAGTAATGTAACCAAGCCAGCAGCAGATTATGACAAGCCTCATTCTCCATGATAAGAAGCTACCTTGGGCAGTATTCATAAGCAGTTGGGATCTAGTAGATGTTGCCAGCCAGAAGAGGGTCAGGATCAAATTTGCATTTTGGAAAGTCAACTCTCTAAAATAGCCAAATCCCCTCTACATGGCTTCCAATGGCTGTCCAGCCCCTGAACAAGTATCCAAAGGGACAGGAAGCTCTCGCCTTTCTCAACCCCCAGGTGATTTACATCTTGTAGGCCCAGCTCTGCCCCTGGGGTCACACATACCGGGTGCTTTTTCCTGCACCTGGGCTGTGACTCACCTCACTCTCTTCAATCAGGTTACAATCTTTTGGCTGGAGGAAGAACTTGGCTCCCCCACCCCTCATCCGCACTCCCAACTCTATTGTCCATGTCCATTCCCGACTGCCCCTAGGAGCCAGGGCCTCACATCCCCCTAACTTGCAAAGTTCTTTTGCCTTCATAGCAAGGTCATTTCTAACCCCATAAATCAAAACTTGCCCATCCTATACCCATTTCCAGACAATCCCTGAAGTTATCATAAAATTCTAGAAAATTAGAGCTCAAAGGAGTCAATCAACTGAAATGACAGATGAGAACCCTGAGGGTCAAAGAAGTTAACATGCCCAAGGTCCTAGAAGTCTACTAGGATTAATTTATTCAAAAGTGCTGTATGACACACATACTCTTATCATCGTTGACACTACCACCAGGGGAACAGGTTAGTCTAGCAAGAAAATCTCAAAGTGTGTGACAGACTTGAAGCTAGTACGAGTAATCTGCATTGGGGAGCAAAGGAAAGAATGGAACAAAATTCTGGAAAGGCTTATTGTGACAATCAAGAAATTATTATATGTTACTTAGGACTGTGCCTGGCACATAGTAGGTACCAGACACAGTCTCTCATAGAGAGACAGCTACTGTCTCTCATAGTAGCTGTTATGAGAGACAATATCCTAATGTGGGCTTTAGAGTTAGACTGATTGGGTTAAAATTCTAACTCTACCACCTACTCATGCTATAACCATATGGCTTTTGGTCAAGCTCTTAACCTCTTTAAGTCTTAATTATCTTTATATGTAAAGTGGGATAATAATACCCAATTTATAGGGTTATCATGAGGGTTAAATGTAATAGTGGTTGTAAAACACTTCACATAGTTTCTTGGCACATCTTAACCAGTCAATCTGTGCTGCCCATGGAGAACATTATTGCCATTGTTCTTGTTAAAGTGCCTTTCATTTAAGAAGGCATCCTGGGCCCATCAACAGTCTCTTCCTGTTCAAGATTTCTGGACCTCCACCTGAATATCCTGTAGGTTCAAATCAGGAAAAGGAATTGGATTTCAGCATTTGGCAGTACAGTAAAAATATGTTCTCTCCCCAATCCATAAGTATTAGGGAAAAATAATTATTTGAAAGACAACTGCTGTGTTCTGATTTAGAACAAATGCAGGGATGAGGCTAAGAAAACATTTGCTTTTCTCTTGTGACCTAACGCTCCTAATTTTAGACTGATATTACATAGTTTACATTTCCAGAGGGGTTATGAAGAATAAGAAAATTGCTAATTTGGGTCTGTAGGGAGTAGGTTAGGCTATTTCCATCCCCTCTGGAGTTTTGTAAATAAATTTGTTCCAGGCCAAAAGTTCCCAGGAGAGTGTCATTCCTGGGATCTA